AAGGTAATGGTACTTTACCTGTTACACTAGTTGTGTCCCAGGTCTGTAGGTACTCGTCTGGTCTGTCCGGCGATGCATATATGGCCTGTGGAGAAGCTGCCTCCACCTTACACGGTACGGCGTTACTGCAGGTTCTACAGACTAAAGCACTGAGGGACCTGCACGAGGGTGGTCACGATCCGGAAGTTCTAAAAGAGCTCCGAACCGCAACTGATCTCGTGTTCTGAGCGACGAAGGTCATTGCGAGTTCTCTTAGTCGTGCGATGTCCACACTTGTGGTCCAGGAGTGTCACCTCTGGTTGTGTCTGGTCGACATGAGGGACCCCGACAAAGTTCGGTTCCTTAAGGTCCCTGTGTCTCAGGCCGGCCTTTTCGGCAACACAATCGAGAACATGGCCCAGCAGTTCTCGGCTGCACAGGAGCAGACTGAGGCGATTCCAACCTGCTCATAGCCGAGGGCGGCCCCCTGCATCCACCCCCACTCCCGTGCTGCATACGCAGCGGCCTCAACCAAGCGGCGCCGTGGAGCTGGGCATAGGCAGGCCACCCCGCCCGTCCAGGCCCCCGTCAACCTGGCAGTGAACGGAAGAGCAAGAGGCCTCGGGACGGGCGACCCAGAGAGAGAGGAAACTGCTCTTTGGGGGATGGTGAATGCACCTCTCCCTACCCCGGAGGAGAGCAGGGTGGAGAATCTGGTTTCCAAAAATCTCAACAGGAGAGTGGTTTTCTCTCTCTGGGTCCCACGAGGGCATGGAGAGTCGCGGACAGACCAACAACGAACCACACTCATCCTCCTCTCTGGCCAGAAGGCAGCAGTGAGTGGTTCGAGAGCGTCATCAAAGACCCTACTCGCGCATCCTCTGCCAAACCGTGGAACCAGGTAAGTGTTGCACTGCACACTCGGACCCCTCTTCGGGTCCCTGCGTTCCACCTCGCTGCCCCAGTGCGGGTACGTCGGTGATCCCGCTGGTCCAGCTTGTGTGGTGTCTGGGTGCCTGGCTACCCAAACCGTTTCGCTGGCTCCTGCGGACCATCAGACTCGACTATGCGATTCAGTTAGCCCGGCGTCCCCCCAAGTTCAGCGGCATCCGCTTCACATCAGTGAAGGCGGCTGATGCTCCTGTCTTGCGTGCGGAGATCGCAGTCCTACTGGCGAAGGATGTGATGGAGCCGGTCCCTAAAGGACGCATACTTTAATGTGTCGATCCTTCCGCACCACATACTATTGCTGCGGTTCGTGTTCGAAGGACGAGTATATCAGTACGAGGTCCTACCCTCCGGGCTGTCGCTCCTGTTTTTCACGTAAGTTACGGAGGCAGCCCTTGTTCCCCTGAGAGAACAGGGCGTTCGCATTCTCAACTACCTCGATGTCTGGCTCATACTAGCTCAGTCTCAGGATCAGTTGTGTGCACACAGGGACTTGGTGCTTTCGCACCTCAGGTGGGCGTGGCTGCCGCCAAACCTTCACCCTGGGGTCAGACCCTTCGTTTCTCCGGGCAGGAGTGCCCCTGGAACAGGTTTCCAGGCAAGGCGTGGTTTACACAGATGCCTCCACCACTGGCTGGGGGGGCCACGTTCGACGGGCTTGCAGTGTTGGGGGTTTGGACGGGCCCCCAACTGCACTGGCATACCAATTGCCTAGAGTTGCTGACAGTATGCCTGGCCTTGAGCCGTCTCAAGAGGCGATTAGGAGGCAAGCGCGTGCTGTCCGCACGGACAACAATGCGACCATTGCGTACATCAACCGACAAGGTGGTCTACGCTCCCGTCGCATGCCGCAACTTGCCCGCCATCTCCTCCTTTGGAGTCAGAAGCATCCAAGGTAATTCACATTCCTGGTCTGCACAACTGGGTAGCCGACGAGCTGTCACGAGCTGCATTCCCGGGAGAATGGAGACACCATCCCCAGACGGTCCAGCTGATTTGGAGTCGTTTCGGAGCTGCTCAGGTAGACCTGTTTGCCTCTCCAGAAACCTCTCACTGCCAGTTGTTCTACTCTCTGGCTGAGGGAACACTCAGCACGGACGCACTGGCACACAGCTGGCCGCAGGACCTTCGCAAGTATGTTTCCCCCAGTGAGCCTTCTTGCACAGACACTGCAAGATCAGGGAGAACGAGGAGCAGGTCCCGCTCGTGTCGCCTTACTGGCCCACTCGGACTTGGTTCCCGGAACTGATGCTCCTTGTGACAGCCCCTCGGCAGATTCCTCTGAGGAAGGATCAACTGACTACTGATCTACTGAGACAGGGCACCCGCTTCCAGACCTCTGGAAACTTCATGTCTGGTCCCTGGATGGGACGCAGAGGTTCTAGGTGACTTACCCCAAGAGGTAGTTGACACCATCACTTCGGCGAGAGCACCGTCTACGAGACACGCTTACGCCTTGAAGTGGAACCTGTTCGTCAAATGGGGCTCTTCTCACCGAGAAGACCCCCGGAAATGTCCGATCAGAGTCGTGCTGTCCTTTCTGCAGCAGGGGTTGGAGGGAAGGCTGTCTGCCTCCACCCTTGAAGTCTATGTGGCTACGATCGCTGCCAACCACGACCCCCTCTATACCCTCTTAGCACTTGTCTCTAGTGCTCAGAGCACTACAGCAGGGCCCATTTGAGCCTTTGCAGACAGTCAAGCTGAAGTTTCTATCAATGAAAACTCTGCTCCTGCTTGTATTGAACTCTATCAAGAGGGTAGGGGACCTGCATGCATTTTCAGTCGACGATTCGTGCCTAGAGTTTGGGCCGGCTGACTCCCAGGTAATCCTGAGGCCCCAGCCTGGCTATGTGCCCAAGTTTCCCACTACTTCCTTCAAGGATCAGGTGATGAGCCTGCAAGCGCTGCCCCCAGAGGAGGTAGACCCAGCCCTAACTTTGCTTTGTCCTGTCCGAGCATTGAGATACTTACGTAGACAGGACGCAAAGCTTCAGGACCTCAGACCAGCATTCAGGTAGCAAACTCACTCTACTAGAAGTGTTACATCCTCCTGGGCGTTGGCTCGTGGCACCTTGCTGGCAGATATTTGTAGAATTGCGGGATGGGTGACCTCATCAACAGGTTCGCTAGATTTTATAGGCTTCATGTGGAGCTGGTATCCTCCTGTGTTCTCACCTCAAATGGGTAGAAGCACTGAGAGGCCCCGGCTTCAAGTCGGCTTGCTAAAACCGCTCCAGAGAGTCCATATCGTAGACCCTGTTGAGCTCCTCCGTCCCCACGGCAGCCAGACGAGGTGAAGCATCCGGCGCCAGGCCCTCACTCGATGAATCCGTGAGAAGCTGTAGAGGGCTGGATTCCATATGTAGAGACCTAAGTAAATCTCATATGTGTAAAGTCCGTGGTATAGCCTCAGAGCCCGTGTTTCCCCGGCAGACTTCCTGCTATTTTCCAAGAGGGTTACAATCACCTTTAATCTTCCATATGCTCCTAGACGGTTGTTAGTATGTGCTTCCGAAACCTCCTTCGGGAAGGATGGGCTTCCGCAACTTTCCGGTTCCAAGTGGAACGGGCACGTTTTCCTAGTGTTATCCAGTCTTATTGAGTGGGTAGTGCCATTGCAGCAGTAACTGGTCTTCTTGTGGTAAGCCCCAGCCTACGCCAAAAAGAAGGGGCGCAAGAGGCTTCCACAGGTCACTGGAAGGGGCAGTATCCATGGCACTTTGGTAGGGATCCCAATTCGTCGGTCTACCGATGTGACGTCAAGAGTGACCGAATGAAAGGAAAGGTCTCGGTTACGTATGTAACCCTCATTCTCTGAAGGAGGGAACGGAGACGTCACGTCACGTACCGTCGCCACGGCTGCTGTTCCTCTTCTGAGCGGCCAGGTCACCTGCTCGGCTCCTGAGTGAAAACCTGAATATGCGCTGCACCGGCTGCCTACTTATACTCACGCTGTGATCAGTAGCAGCTGGATGCAATAATCGCATGCCAATGTGCATTGGCTCATTTAGTTTACACTCAAAGTGGATTGGTCTCTCTAAACGAGATCCCAATTCGTCAGTCATCCGACGTGACCTCTCCGTTCCCTCCTTCAGGGAACGAGACGTTTTAGTCATTGTTCATGCTACAAGCTAGAAAGGGAAGGAATAAATAAAGAGAAAGACAAAGTTTTTTTTTTTTTAAGATGAAGTCAAGTAGCTTCGAAAGAGATGAGTTTTCAGCTGTCGCTTGAACATGGTCAGGGATTCAGCATTCCGGATAGGAGCAGGAAGATCATTTCACCAGCCAGGAATAGTGAATGAGAATGTTCTGGAAAGTGATTTTGAGCCTCTCTGTGATGGTACCATGAGGCGTCGCTCACTAGTGGATCTCTGGAGGGAACTTCTGGAGGAGATTCGTAATAGTGAGTGGAAATAGGCAGGTGCTGAGCCTGTGGCTGTTCTATATGCAAGCATCAATGTCTTGAACTTGATGCGAGCTGCAGCCGGTAGCCAGTGCAAGGAGATAAAAGAGATAAAGATATCTGTGTTCAGTTATGTGTGTATGCATGCATCTATAAAAGCATCGTAACCTACTGCATACAGTTTTAGTTTAGCTACAAGCCAGACCCAAACCCAAGAATATTTCGAGACCTGTTGGACTCAGATCGGGTAGCAGACCTCTATGTCGGCGGCAGTTTGCCCAATTTAACATATTGAATCGGCGTCAGGGCCGTCGGCGAGAGGGAGAACTCTTATCGGAAGTTCAGTTTAGCAACTGAGTCCGTGCCCGAGAATTCAAGTGAAATTGATGAAAACCAGTAAATGAAGGCGGCACAGACTGAGGGCTGTTCTAATGTTATGTGATCTTACCCAAGTATGCAAATATTTTCATAACAACATGAGCAGCTAAAAATCTGCTTTTCATATCTTTTGCTTTGTGGCTTTAAACTGTGGTTAACTTGTATTTATCTCTTTTTGCTTTAGATCAGCTGGTGCTGAAAGAGGATAATCAAGATCCAAATGAAATGGAACAGACAGATCAGTATGAGAAACACCATGATTTAATAATTGGTTAAAAATCCACACAGTCTAAAATGGCTTCTATACGAAAAAGAGCTCAGAAAACCAAATCTAACAGCTCTTTCACCTGCCATCAGTGTGGAAAGAGCTTTGTTCAACAAGAAAACCTCAAAAGGCACACGAGAACTCACTCGGCAGAGAAGCCATTCACCTGCCAACAGTGTGGAAATGTTTTCACCCAAAAAGCAAGCCTTCAAGATCACATGAGAACTCACTTGGGAGAGAAACCATTCACCTGCCAACAGTGTGCAAATGTTTTCAATCGAAAAACAAACCTTCAAAGAAACAGGAGAACTCACTCGGGAGAGAAACCTTACACTTGCCATCAGCGTGGAAAGAGTTTTACACAGAAAAGCAGCCTTCAATCTCACATGAGCATTCACACTGGAGCGAAGCCTTATATATGCCATCATTGTGCAAAGAGTTTCACAGTCAAAGGAAACCTGAAGACACATAGGAGTTAACACTGGAGAGAGGCCTTTCAAGATCATTCTGGAAATAAAGCGTGACCGTGACGAGGTTTACCAAAAGAAGAAATTTTAAAAATCCCCAGCATATTCCTTCTGGAGAAAAGCCCATTAACTGTGATCAATGTAATACATTTCTTTTGACATTACACCCGATAGATGCACCTAAGAAGTCATGAAAATGAGACTGTATTTTTGTGCTTTCGGGAGAAAGCTTAAAACGGCCCTACAATTTAAAAAAGAAAATAGGCACCTGTTTGAAATTTTGTTGTTTTTGTTAACTTTTTTTATACTCGTCTTGAGGCTTTTTGTTTTTTTTATAAATGATTTCCTGTATCCACACCTGGCTCCTTTGCTATAGTTT